TAGCTGGCATTACCTCACAGTGTCCCTTTAAGTGAAACAAAGCGCAGCGCAGTGTTGGGTGTTGTTTAGAGACCAGTTATATGGGTAGATGCTAGAAATCTGAGCTATTTCCAAGCATGGGGAAAATGATTTTATGAAACAAAAAAATGAAAAACCCTCAGACCTTACCACAGAACCTTGTTAAGTCTATCAAGACTGAAAAAACTCCAGGAATATCCTTCTGAAATGGAGGATGAAAACTTCTGTCTTTGCAAAAGCTGCTCAAAGTTCTCTGGATGTGGAGTTAGTACAGTGGACAGTCAGACCTTTGAGAAGCAGTTGCTAACCACTTCCTCTTGCGTATCAGACCTGAAAATCCAGGAAGCATGCAGGACACAGCGCCCCAACACTTTACCCATCCTCTCTTCTGAGGTTTCCCTAGCTCAAGAGGAGCAGTCAGAACAAGGAAAAGGCAAAGAACAAGGAAGAAGGTCCTATGATAGATTCTACTTTTACCTCAGAGTTGAGGCAAAAGGACTTGAGATTTTGGCATGGAACTGAGAGCATTATAGAAATGGGCAGGAAATGAAGAGGTAGGTAGCAGAGTTAATGAGAAGGCAAATACTGTTTAAGACCACACTCCATCCGAGTTCCTGCTCACCTTCTACCTCTATTCATTCCCTGTTGGCAGACCTTGAAGCTTCTGTATGTGTGTAAAGATGATTTCTGAGGAAGTTCTGTTGAGAGCATGTCTGCCTCTAGGAGTTAAGTTGCTTCAAATTCTTTCCTATTCCCTGCAAACCCCAAATTACTCTACCACAACCCCCAAGATTCCTAACCCTCCTCCCAGAGGAAGTGTGCTGATTTAGCTGCTGTGTATAGATTCAAAGCTTATGAATTGTCCTTTTTTTTTTTTCTTAATTTAAATTTGCATTGTTGGAACAAATCTTCCTTTCTTCAGTGTATGAAAGCATTTTTAAAATTTTTTGTTCCAAAGCATTACTGCTAATAAAACTAGTGTATAACTAAAATACGTGTTTTAGAAGTCTGTATATAGACATTGACCTGTCCAGCTTAGCTTGTTCATTCAAATTGGCTGGGTATGCAAAAGCTGCGTAAAATCAAAAATTAATGGAAGCACACAATAGACACAAGAAACCTGACAAGTAACAATAAACCACATCAACTTAACATGCAATCATCCTGCTTAAAACCAATAAGCATGCCAAACAGGCAAGACGGGTTGTGCGCAGAAGGATTCTAGATTATCTTGTTATAATGCACTAAAGCTGTAGTTCAACCAGTTTTATTTTAAGGCCAGTTTTCCCACTGAAAGGAGGAACTTGCTGTTGGTTTCTGTTTTCAGTGCTGGTTTCTATATCCACCTCCTTTCTCTGATCCTTCTTGCACTGGGATTACTGGGTGACTGGGGGTAAGGCATCTGAGGAGCTCACGCCGGGAAGGAAGCAGGAGAAAGAGCATCTGTGGGCTATTTTTCTACTCAGTCCCTCAATGTTGTTTACCACACTTAACTGCGATGTTTCCAGTGCTACCCTATACTTCAAACTAGGTTGGGAATAGGCAATGCTGAAGTGCTAAGCCAGGCACACATCTGAAACGTGACACCCTTCCCTCCCAGTACATCCTTGTGCTGAATTCATGGTGCTTTGTGTCTAGGCGAGAATGTTTAGCTGAAACATGCCCCTTGTTCTTGCAGATACAGTGTGCAAATAAAACTTGAAAGTTATTATCACTTGCTGCCCCAGACCTACCAGTGAGCCTCACCTCCAAAAAACATACCCACCTTTCTTCTTGCATCTGCTTATCAAGAGTTCGGCTGTTCTTTCTGTAACTCACATATCACAGCTAAAGAATTAGAAATTAGAATTAATTAGAAAACATGAGCAGTCTCTCCTGGAATAAAAGGAGGCAGCTGCCATTGCTTAAAATGTACATAGTTTCTGTGTACCTACATCATAATGTAGATTTCTGCTTTAAATTAGAAAGCTGATGAGAGTTTTAAATTCTTGCATCACAGACTTAAGTTGATCTCCATAAGCATGAATGAGTTTGCCATGGTGGTAGTTCAGTGCTTTGAGAAGTACACATTTTCTGTTTATGAGCTGCACGTAGAGATGTAGGAAGAAAATAATGTGAACGCAATTTCCGAGTACTACCAGTATGCATGTGGGAATGCCCAACTGCAAGGCAATTCGGAGGATTGGCAAGCCTTACACTATCATGACAACTCCTTTGTAATAGTAGCACACATCTAGATAATATTATTCTGTTTGCTGATGACAGATGAGCTAGTTTGAGAGTATCAAGTTAGAAATGGCCACAATCATGCATTTCTGACTGGGGAAGGTAACTCTGAATGGTGGGCTGGTTCTATGCAGTTGCTAGAGAAATCCTCTTTTTCATGCTGACGCTCTGCAGCCACTCCTAACATGCTAGACTAGGTGATGCTGCATCCAGTAACCTCTTTGCTTTGCAGCAGGGGTTGGTATGAATGCTTTCTGTCCACTGAATGTATAATCTGGTTCGTAGTCTTGGTTCAGAAGTAAACATTGAATACCTCTGAAATCTGCCCTGTAGCTGTAACCAGCAGGTCCTCTCATAACACATTCCGTGGGACAAAGACACCAACCACTGCAGTGGGAAAAGAAGGAGGATATGGGTGGAATGAAGGTGAGTTTCATAGGTCTTGCAGTAGGAAGCTTTCTCTCCCTGGACAAATAAGTGGCTTCCTTCACTCATATTTAGAAGCTGATAAATTTTTTTTTTTTAACTTCTCAACCTTTCTGTCATCACCAGTTGGAGGAGAAGAGCAAAATACCTTCTTGCATTTGGATAGTATGCTTATAGAAAGTCATCTGTGTGATAAAGACTACAGAGATCAGAGTATAGATTAAGTCATTTATCATGAAGGATCTCGGAGTTGTGCCACAAGATTACTGGTTTTTCAGTCTTGTGTTTCATATCCTTACCATTTTTTGCTTGTATCCTACAGGTAAGGCACAGAACTTCAGACCAGGTAATGGCTTTGAAGATGAACACGCTCAACAGCAACAGAGCAAACATGCTGAAAGAGGTTCAACTTATGAATAGACTCTCACATCCGAACATCTTAAGGTATACTGGCTTTTTTCTGAGTCGTATAGAGATAGGTTGTCTTTAGTAGAGCTTTCCTATTTCCAATTTTAATTTTTTTTTTTATTATAGCTGTATCTGTTGTGAATATGTTAGGATCAGCTTCTAATTTAATGGAAGAAGGGGAGGAGAAAGAAAAGACTTCAACAAATTGAAAATCCACATGATTACAGTATGTGGAGTTTACCATTAATGAGTAACTTATGTCAGAGAAAAACAAGATTTCACATTGTAAATTTCTGATGAATCAGTAAAATGATATGAAGAGTGATTTGGCTTCTCTTCATGAATTTAAATTATTGCAAATTTAACACCATTAAAATAATCTATGGTTACTAATCTTTTCGATTAACAATGCAAAGTGCCATAGCTTCCTTATATTTTTAGGTCTGTTATCTATTTTTTAGCATTTTCTTATTGTAGTATTGCAAATATAAGAGGGACTGGAGAAAAGAAGCTAGACTTGAAGTAATCTGATTTATCTGCTCTTGAAAGGAAAAAGGTAGTTCTTGTTTTGCAATAGATTACTGGATGCAAATCCAAAATGTTTCAATGTGTATCTTGTTATTGCTTGAATCTTTTCCGTCTTGGCTACTCTCTTATGATGATGTGACAAGCAATTAACAGAATTAGCTGAAGCCATAACATTAAGAATTTTAAAGGTGTGATGACAGTGCACCAGGTAACAGGTTCTCCTAAACTACTGTTGCACAGGTGGTATCTATTTTGATAGTCTCAGGCAGCGTAACTCTTTTTGAAAAGTTTTTGGAGACACAGTGAACTCTTAACTTCATTTTCTCTTCTTCATTTGACTGTTAAATAGTACAGACATAGTACTGATTCCTGAAATCCTTTATAACCAACTCTTCTGATCCTTGAAATCCTGGCTCAGTCTTCATCAACTGATGTGTGACAATATTATTGTGTTTGTTTCCCTTGGTGTTTGAGGAGACATATCAGAAGCATTTGGACTATCTGTAGGGAACGTTCCATTAATTCATGCCTATTTTCTAATTTTTCTTTTTCTTAATCCCCCCCAAACCTGCAGACTTGGAGAATTTTTGCTTATGGTAAACTATATTGGTCTTATCACTATATTTATTCAAGTGTTGTAGTAATCTGTTCCTAATTAGAATTCTTAGTCTGTTTTCTCTACTCCAAGGTGAGGTGAGTTCCCAGCAACTACTCTGGCTCTTCTGTTTGTGTGTTTCTTTGTTTTTAATGATGTCAGATATGTGGCTTTTTAGGTTCCAGGATTATTAATTGTTTCTTATATCTGTCCACCACTTCCTTTCCCTCAGAATCCTTAAATAAGCAGCTTATGATCCTGGGGACTGATACATCTGCTTTTTAGTAAGGTTTGTGGAAAGAATAATTTCATAGGATTGGCATTGTCAGAATTGTGAAGTCAGTATGCTTCAACAGTTTTTTTTATCACCTTGGTGTGGTTTGTAAATCTTTATTTTAAAAAACATCTAGCTTTACAACTCTGTTCAAAATAAAGTATTTAATTTGGGTTGGGGTGAGGGAAAGTAGGAGAGGGATAGCTTGACAGGGAAAAAGCATTCAGTTGAAGCTTAATGTAACTCTGCCTCCTTTCTCCCCACCCCCGAATGGAATTACACAGGTGTTGCCAGGATCAAAAGTTATTGTACTGAGTTCTGAGTAATTGCTGAAATTTAGATTTCTTACAGTGTTTCAGAGATCCTATCTATGATATACCAATCCCCTCTGGCCTTAGAGCCTATGAATAATTTGAAGTCAGTGGTGTTGCACAGATGGTCCTGAAGAAAGAACAATAATGTATTGATTTATGCATGAAGCAGAAAAGGAATTCCATTTGGTTATCCCAGTTATTACAGAGGATTGATAGAGAAGTCTTTTTGTCTGTGTGCTCAACTAAGCAGTTATGAGTGAATACATAAGAAATAAATTACTTAAATAGAAACGGTTTATCTTTGCATAATTTGTTTTGAAGAATAAACTACACTTGCTTTATGAATTGCTTGATTTGAGGCTTCTTCAGAGACTGTTGGTTCTCTGGTAAAAAATATTGCCAATTTATTACAGATTAGCTAAGTACACTTGCTGCAGGCAAGAAAATGCAAATGAGAACTGTATTTAGGTTTAGTTTATTCTTTTATTGAATAACAATGGACAGTAAAAAGTATTATTTTTCTTTCTGTAGAAGATAGCTTTGTGGGTTTGTGTGTTAGTTATGTGTCATTTTATTTTTGGTTTAAAACCACTTACTGCAGTGTTTCCAGTCCCTTTATATCTGGAAGAAGATTTTGCCCTTTTTAAATGTTACCTGCCTATGTGTCTATATATACCTATATATATACACACACTCATGCAAACTTCTGTATTTATGTTTTAGAAACCTATAAATCATTGGTGTTTCTACTAGTCTTGTAAAAATCAGTTTAGGACCTATTTCCCACTTCAGAAACACATTAAAGATAGTATTTGATGGTAATTTGCTTTTATAGTATAGTGAGAGATGAAAATGTGTTGTCAGATAAGAACAGCTGGAGTAGTATTGCTGAGAGGTCACTAGGAAAATGTTCTACAACAACATGTTCCTGTTGAAACATTTTCTGGGATTATTTTGTGAGATTTGAAGCCTGATTAGTATTTAAAGGGAATGATCCTCTTCCAAGAAGTTCTAATGTATGATTTCCCCTTTCCAGGGACTATTGAGCTATCTCAGTTTCCTGTTAAATGTTATTTTCTTCACTTAATTTCTGTCCTTTGAAGCTCTTCCTCTATATTACTGACTAAGCTGTTTTGTCACTAGCATCAAGTTTAATTATTATTGGTTAGTCACTGGATCTCTGCCACATGCCTTGAAGGTGTACTCTGATTTTATGTAATATATACATCTGAGCTTCTTCATCTTCTATAAACTCTAGGACTACCTACTGTTAACTTAGGCTGTAAACAAATTACTTTCCTTAGTGCTGATCTGTTCTTTGCCAGTAAGGATGTTAGTGGATTCTTAGGCTGAAATGGTGTGATCATGTTGTGCTGTGGTTAGTCGTAGCAGGTAGAGGGGCTGCGAGGTGGTCTGATATCAAGTGGCTTGTAAAATTACAAAACTGGATAGATACTGGCTTTACAGCATCTAAGATCTGCTCTCAACCTATTTCAACTTGTGCAGTTCAGTTTTGGAAAGTGCATGTCAGATTCGGCAATGATGCATTTATTTTAGTATACTAAATTCTTCCTTAATCTGGGTGGGTGGTTGTGTTTTTGAATGTCCTGATGCTTTCGTACCTAAAATTTGTAATTGAATCAATGTTTTTGTCCTAGAACTCTTCCCTGGTTTATATAAGGTGTTTTTACCTTAGTGACACTTTCGTACTACTTTAGGAGATGGTGTTGTGTCAAGGTGTTTCAGTTTCTCTACTTCTAATACTTGGTGAAGTATCAATCTGGTTATTTAGGCTTTAAAAGTAACTTGGGTTTCTGGGCATGGAGTGAAAGGCTAACTTTAATATCTCCACTCATTTCAGTATTTCTGTGCTCAAATTCTGCTCTTGGCTAGCTATATAGATCCATCTTAATCAGAAGAGCTTATTTTTCACTTACCAAGTCCCCAGCAAGTATACTATCTCCATAGCAGCATCATTAAGATTCTAGTGATCAAATATATACATACATTAGAAAATGTTTTTATATATATTTCCATCAAGAAAATGAGAAGCCGTCTTCTATTAGAGGGATTAATTTGGGAAAAAATGGAACCTCTTTGTCAGTCTGTTAAGGATATTTTGGAGTAGAAGACTCCAGCTCTTGCAGCGAAATTGGCATGATGTTTAAAAAGTACAGAGATTTAGAGGTTTTTTGTTTGTCTCCCGCCCTCTTGCTTCCTGTTTGAATTAGCAGATGTGATTCCAGAGGCAGAGTAGATGTTAACTGTAATGTAGTCACTTTTTGTACAGTCACTGTCTGGCGAGTGTAGGAAACTATGTATGAAAGAGCTGCTTTTTTCTTTTTTTTTTCTGTGTTGCTTTTTTCCCCAGGGACCAGCTTAGGGACATTTTAGGAGTAGACAGGGCAAAAGCAGACTAATGGTGTTGATGGAGTATTCTGCTCTGCTTCTACTGTCAACCTCATCTCCTATCTCCACCTCACTCCTGTATGCAAGCTAAACATGGAGAACTAAAATGCTTTTCTGTCTCTGATCTACACTTCTCCCTGCCCTGGATGTGGGATTTACTGGCTTTATCACCTCTTCCCTCAAAACAGATGGTGAGAGCAAGAGTGGAAAAGTGAGCTGGAGTTCTGGTTTGCACCATGCGATGTTTACTGTAGCCGCTTTAGCACAGGTTTGCTGATACATGGCAAGACTAATTATTGGGGTTCGGGAAAACAGGTTTGGAGCATCTCTTCACTTCTTTATTAGCTTGTGTCCCATTTAAAGCACAGTGCTGTTCAAGGCTTGGGTTAGATCTGGTACCAGGGTTGTGAAAGGTCTAATGTATGCTTGTAAAATTTTTTTTTTTTTAACACTTTGCTGCTTCTCTGAATGCTGATGTGCTGCTGTAGTCATGAGTTTTTACCCAAATCACAGTAAGAAAATAGGGCTGGAAAGGACTCAAGAAACCCCTGTCCTGTGTCCTAGGTTGGGAGCCTTAAAGCTGCAGCCTGAGAGACCTGATAACTTTTCATTCTGGTAATATCTTGCAGGTGTGTTTTTCCCATTTGCAAATGAAGTGGTGTGCTAACACAGATTCTCCATCTCCTGTGCTGTCTGTTAAATTAGTGTATCTTCAATTTTGAGATAGAATTTCAGTCTTTAATATCACTACTGTTTGCATGAAGAAGTATTTCTTTGTTTGATCCGTACCTTGGGGACTTCATTTAAAACGTTCTCTGCACAGAAAGCCTTAGTTTATGCCTTAAGTGCTCTCATAGGAGTGCTTGGAGGTATTGCTGCGTGTTTGGCAGTGAGCGTGCACGCAGATTGACTCATTGATTAAATACACCTTATTGTGTGCGCACACACACACGCAAATAAGCAAGCAGTGTGCATATTACATGAACTTCTTTTAAGGAGAATTTTCTTTCATCTTTCAGATAAATCTAGCAGTCTGGGAACAATACCACTTTTTTGTGTGTGTAGTTTTCTCCTGTCAACCTTCTTTTTTGTGAAATTACTTGTGATTAACTTTGCAATAGGCAGAAGGATGGCTTTTGTCTTTTAACATCCTTTGTATTGAACAGTGCTTTAACAGAAAAGAAAAATACTTCTCCGTGTAATGTGGTTATCAAAAAGGAGTATTTTAGAAATGCTATGCACAGGACAGGGAAGAGAGGCTGTATGTGTTGTGTATAATGTATTACAGAAGGGGTAGATGTAATGCCTTATCTCTGTCTTGAATGAAGATGCAACTGTAGAAAACTTAAAATATATTTTTAATCTAACATGGTGCCTAAAACATCAAGGAAGGTCATAATGCAGACTTACTAGTCTTACGCACTCTCTTTGTTTTCCAACAGTCAGTGCAATGAAGTAAGCATCTTTGACCTTGTTTCTCTTTGTGTTACTGAGCTGGTGTGAGACACACTTGCATTGGTGCGTTTGTTTTGGGTTTTATGTTTAATGTTATCAAACTGCTGAATTTTCTCATACAAGCAGTAGATTTCAGGGAGCATCAATTTATTATGTTGAACTGTAGGTGCCACAGGTTTATCTACAGAACAGGAACATGTTCCATTGAAGTTCTTCTAATGGGAAGCATGTGTTCAATGTCTAGATGTCCACAGTGGCTCTATAATCTGGATATTAGTTTTGCTTGATTTATCAAGGAGGCAAAGATTGTAGGCTGAGGCTACAGTTCTTAGTCTCCCCCTTCCTGTCTAATATTTTCTCCCTTGCAGTCAGTCTGAACTGAAAGCAGGGTAACTGTGTTAACAGACTAAGAAGTATCCAGAATACCTTCTCTTGCTCTTGTCTAGGAGGACAGGTATTCCACATTAATTGAGGAGTAACCTAGTTTATGGAAAGAGAATTCCAACATCTGAACATCGCTGACGTTTGTTAGAAAGCATTTTGTGGTGGAAATGTGCTGCGCTGTATTTAGTAGTGGACTCAAATAGCATCTTTCATATTTGCAGCTTCTGGGGAAACTTTTCCAACTACTAGTTATGATTTTGGAAGTGCTTCAGCTTTCCTGATAAGGCCAGATACACTGTCTTGAAAATAAACTTCCTTAAATCTGCAAATGGTCTCCTGTTTTGTGGATGACTGGCTCATTGAAGCTTCTTCCAAATAGAAATGCTTATAGGAAGTGTAACCTTTGGCTGACAAGATATTATGCTGAAGTTCACCTACAAGCACATTTTGGCTCTGGAGACAGTGCGTCTAGCCAACAGGAGTAATCTCAGCTGTACTGGGCCAGCATGTCAGCTTCCTATCCACAGAACTTGGAATCTCATCTGGGGCAATCTCAGAAATTGAAATCGTATGTTAAGTCTTGCTTGGTAATTGTATTTCCTGGTAGCAGCTGCGTGTATTATCTTTTAGTGAAAATGCTTTCCAACAGTGTTTTGTAGCAGTACTTGGCTTAACCAAGAGGCTTATTATTGCTTGATACAGCAGCTGAGAAGAAGTTTTCCAGGAATTTGGATCACTAGAGGTCTATTCTATCAATCTATTTTCCAGAGTCTGAAAACTGAGATTCTTGACACAAAATTTAAATGGTTCCAGTATGTTGCTTGTAAACTCATTAATTCTGTCTTTATCAGGGTATCTGGTTTCTCTTTTCCTGGGTAATAACTTCTAAATATGTGGGGTTTATAAATGTATCTTTATGTCCAGCTTTTTTTTCCATGAGATCATGATATTGAGCTTTGGTTTTAATTTCTGATTTAAAGTTAGAAATGTATATCTGTTTCCCAGTAGAAACCCTAAATGTTTAAGAATTTTTGAACTCTTACTCTTGGTAACTTGAGCCAGTGTGCCTTTTCTGCCTTAAGTGTGGGTTCACAAAGGTAATGAGTGTGTTTCCATTGAGACTTCCCTTGACCAAAACAGGTTGGCAGAAGTTAAGTTCTACCAGTCTTTGGGTGACACTGATGTTTTTCCTTTTTGGTAAAGATGAGACAAGAAATTTAATTTTGCCAAAATTTTGATAAATTCTTAATTGCATTCACATTTTAGAATTAAGTAAAATACAATTAATTCCTAATTTGAAAATAATTTAGTATACCTTTACAAAGGAAGAGTTGATATAGATGTAAACATTCTTATTTTTAATTACGTAGCGTCAGTTTTTGTTGAATGAAAACACTGCAGTACTGGGTAACCTTGTGCCATTAGTATTTTTCATAAAAGAGAAACTAATACTTTCAAAAGTTGTCTAATAGTGGAACTAGTATCTTGGATTTTTTTTTTCCAAGTTTTGCTTGTGAATAAAGCTATAAACACCATGCCTGATAGCTCTGGCGACTTTCAGAGAATGCATTAAGGAAGAAATAGATTTCTGCTCGGGGGGAGTCTGGATTTCTTAGTCTCAGGAAGCTTAATTTGTCAATGTGTTTACAAAATTGTTCATATATAATTGCTGTATGAAGTGAAACTCAGAAACAGCAATGTTCTGAGTAGATAGTATATCTAAAAGAACCCTCTTCCCTTTCCCCTAAATACCTGGTTATGCCCTATTGTTCTTCATTAAACGAGGAATTGGATATTCACTGTCTCTCAAATTAAAATTTGCATATTTAATTCAGGGTATATTATTTGAGGTGAGAGCAGGCAGTGGATGTTCAAATACAAGCCCTGCTTCTTTTTTTGGTTATAAAAACAGATTTCCACAGCTCAGCTTATGCAAAGGACCTTACCTATATTATTTTTCTTTGGCTGCTTATAATTTACCAGTCAGCTGTTAGACAAGAGAACAGAGAGGATCATTCATTTCTTCAAAAGCAGCTTAGTTGAACTAGTACTACATGTGTCTTGCATCATTTTGTTTTTAAATTCGGAAGTGTTTCAGGATATAAAAGGTTCTTTTCCTTCAAACTGTTTTCCATAAGATTCCCCTGCCACATTTAATGAAACCATGCATTTGTACCTCTTGCTTGCAAAGTGGAAATTTACGAACATTGTAGAAGTGACAGACAATGTGTTCTTGCTTTTTGAGACCAAAATCTAAAGGATAAAACTGCACATTAATTAATCTAAAAATAATCAATACTTTAACTGCACAGGGAGGGCTCTAAAGTGTGTGTAACTTAAATTTTACTGAACTTTCTCATGGGATATGTTTACTTTTAATTTGTATGTTGCCACTTTTATGGTGGTAAAAATGAGCTTTCAGTTGTTCCTTGTACGTTAAATGCATGGCACATTCTCTATGCTTTCCAGAAAAGTCAAGGATGACAGTCATTAGTACTAAGAGCCAGAGTCTCAACCTTGTGCAGTGTAGGTAGCTTTTGTGGAAACTGTATATATTGGATACTGCGGAAACTTGCTTCGATCCAAGTGTTGGAAATAGGGGGTTGGGGAGGGGAAGTATCCTGCATGCATGTGCCCTCATATTCCTGAGTGGTTAGAAGTGGGATAGGAAGAAACATCTTTATGCTTAAGCAGCAAAATGCAAGGGGAAGTAATTTTCTATTTATGCAGACCAACAGCAGATTACTTGGCTTAAACTTCCTTAAAACAGAACTCTTTCTGTGTAAATCCTTATATGCTGGCCTTTTCTTACAGTCAAATTAGTAACTTTCCATTTGGAGTTTAAGCTGTCTTCTGTGCTCTCTTGGAACTCCTAATTCAAATTATATTGTAGTGTAGACACATCATTTTGTTTTGTGCTGAGACTTTTAAATAATGGACCTTGAGGCATGCAGTATCTGTGAGGCTGAATTTTTTTCTTTTTCCTTCTTGGCATAGACAGTACTTCTTATTATCTTAGTTTCTGTAAAGAAAAAAAAAAAGAGGGGGGGAAAAAAGCCCAAACCACTTTTCTTTTCTTATTTCTTGTAGGTTTATGGGTGTCTGTGTGCATCAAGGACAGCTGCACGCACTTACTGAGGTAAGACTATTTAATGATATACATACTCAATGTGAAGCAATTCTCAGGCCAGATTCTGAACTGCTCTTCACCTTGAGTGCTAGTTTCTTTTATGGTGACTAGTGAGTTAATCACACGCTACTCGCTATGCGGTGGGAAGACTGCAGAATCAGACCTCAGAGCTGTACTTCGCTCATAGCCCTTGTATGTCTTTTCTCATCAGAAGTGCTTATTAGGATGAAAAAAAAAAATCACAGTAGAAACATAAAATTTCACTTAGCATATTCTAAATGAGCGATGTGGATTATCATTGAGCTGTCCCTAAATATGATTTGTTTTGGTGACACTGCATTGTATTTAAGTCTTATTTATACTCTGGTTCGGTGTACATTTCACAGTTGGATCAGGGATGGTTCGGCAGGGTCATATTAGTGTATTCAGTCCCTACCACTTTCTTATTTGGAATACCATCAAGATGACAGCTTAATCTGGGTCCCATAACAAGTAATTATTCCGTTGCCCATATACCCTGACCAAGATCTAAGTATCAAATGAGAAATGGATGTTTCCTTTCATGTGAGTCTTCCCACCAAGTTTTTACTGGCTTGTACGTTTAATCCCTCTGTAAACTGCTCAGGAAAAAGAAGAAAGGGAGTATTATTCTGTTAGGAATAGTGTTGCCTGTTTTGAGTCAAAATCAATAAAATGTTTTTCCTGCTGTGTTAGTTTGAGTACAGATTGAAGGCAAACTCATGTTTTGTAAAGTTGATGTTTCTTATTTACTTCTATTTTATCAGAACTGATCAATTAAAAGATTAACCCTTTCCTGCCCCCCCCAACAAGTATGTTATTAATTAGCAATTAAACCAGGTTCCTGGTATGTTTGCCAAGAACCACTGCAAAGTGAGAAGACTGGATAGCTATATGCCAATTATCAGGATACGTGTGGCCATCACTTTCTGTAACTTTCATATGCAACTCTGAGGCAAAGATGCATATATGTGGGCAGTGAAATTCTTCACCTTCTGGGGTGACAATTCTGCAATTCTAATTCTAGCTGCTGTTAGAGTGATGCACGCTAGTTCACAGTGGCCATATTTCTAGTGCAAGAGCAAAAGTAAAGACGCTTTCAGAAATTTCAAGATACAGCATGTGTGAGGGGTCCTTTGATATAACACGGTCAATTTATTTGATTCCACCTCCCCCCTCCACGTCCTCAGTAGAGGAAATGTTTCTAAGATTTGGCATCAGATGGCTGATCAAGTCCTTCAGGCAGGCTTTGCTGACGTAATTGCCCATTTCTTTTAGACCTCTGGTCAGTTAAAACAGGGAGGTTTCAGGCCCTTCCACTCACTAAACATGTCCTAGAAGAGATGGAACTTCATAACGCTTCGTTGTACTACATCTTAGCAGATCTTCCTCAGTGCCTCTTTTTGGGGGTTGGTTTGTTTGTTTTCTTCCCTTCATCCCAGTTGCTTGCCATTTAAACATTCCTCCCCACCCAGAAACCCAAGAAAATGAAACCAGCACAGATGCTTCCTTATGGAGAGCTAACTTTGTAGCTACTTGCTTTGTTCAGCTATTTTTGAGTTCTTGGCAAGCAAATAAATCTAAGAAAAACTTCAAAGAATAACTTTTTATAGTTATAATTCAGAATAGCAGAAGAGATTCCTGAAATGTCTTGAGACCAAAGAGGGGAAGTTTTAGACTGAAGAAGGCTGCTGCAAATTTCTGAGAAACAGAATAGCTTTAGTGAGATATTATAAAAGTAAATGTAGTGATCACTGCTTTTCTTATGTGGACCAAGGCACACATTGAATGCCTTCAATAGGAAAAAACATGACTGAAGGCCATCATAAGTTGATGTTGTAGGGAATCTACGCACAATTTTGTCCAATACAGTAGTTGTTCTTTGGTTCTACAAAGCTTTTGAAAATTAAGAGCTGTCTATATTCCAAGTGGTGGAATTAGTTGTGTTTTCTGGCAACAGTAGTGGCATTTTTCATCTTGAAGTGTGTGTAGAGTAATAGTTGAGTTCTGAAGACTTCTGGAGGTTTGGGAAGGGGGCTGAGATGGCTAGCTGAAGGAAATATTAGTAAGACGGACATGGTGAATCACCAGTTCAAATATAGCCCAGGAGGATAAACAGATCAGCCGCTGTCTCGTGGCTTTTTTCAGCTTGTGGTCCAAAAAGGTGGTCTCCTAGCTTCCAGTGCTCAACATAACTGATACTAGACTGACACTACGAGCACTCCTAGAGCTTCTGCCAGGGTTCTACATCTTTGGAGGTGAAACTGTTGATTCAGAAGCCCATTGCTCAATAGGTGTCTTAGTCACTGCAAGGAGAATCCTCTCTCACGCTAGCCTATGCTGGACCTGTTCTGTAAGGAGCTTAATTATAACTTCTTGTGTTTTGAGAGTACAGTTGATGATATGCCTAAGTGAAAGGGATACAGCATCACTTAGAGCTTATGTCTGAGGGCGTCATGGGAAATAATGTTTATTTGTATATATATATGTTTCCATGACAGAATAAGTCGATAACTTGTGGCAAATGTTCTGTGAATGGATTTAGACAACTTGTACTTTATAGCCTTCTGTGCTATTAACAGGCATGGCAACAACCACAAATGGTGTTAAAGGAGCCTTGAGGATTTTATAAGCCTGTTAAAGGGCTACATTAGTAATATACAGCACTTCGTTATTAGAAGGCAGAGTCTGACGTGTTACAGATTTATTTTCATACGTGTTTTAACTACATGGGAGACTAAACACAGTGGATCATGCAGAGCAGGTTTTTTGCTTGAGCAAGGTGTTGATTGTATATAGGCCTTGGGTTTTTCCCTTTTGGCAGCATTTTATATTGTTTTAATTGTCCTCTCTCAAGTGGCTTTTGTTTTTAAAACTGTTGGGCAAGAAGCAGTTTCTGTTTGTTTTGGTTTGTTTTTTTCAAAATACGAATGGAATTATTTAATCATAGATTGTACTAGGACTTTGGCCTTGTTCTGAATCCACAGTCTTATCAGTTTTGAAAATCCAATATTGTTTTCAAAGTTCTCAAGCCACAAGCTATGGCATATGCCTCTTCTTCAGAAGTTCAGTATCTGTGTTTAGAGTCATAGACAGGTTTAGGCTGGCAGGGACCTCTATCCTTGCACGCACATAGTTAAGAAACATTTAAGGAAAGTGAAGTAGATGCTTTAATAGGTGTACCACCCAGACGAGCTGGCAGATCTTAGACTGCCTCGCTAACTTTGAGCTGATGGGCACGTATTTGCTGTGCTTATTTTCTGTAAAACCAGGAACTCGGTATTCCTTTCTCAGTATTTAGCTCTAATCTGTAGCTAGTGGTTTGTTTCTGTAGCTACAAGAATCTGCAGTGCTTCCTGCTGTACTCACATGCCTCTCTAACCTAATTTCAGCCTTTCCTTCAAGCCTCTCTCTGTTTTCCAGCCACCTTCCTAATCTGACAACTGTGCTTCCATTTCTTAATTTCCTGGCACACAGCGGCATCCTCAGACTTGGAGAAACTTGCCTAGTAGTACAGGCTCTGATGTCAGTTAGCATGAGACGCTGCTGAGCTTTCAGAGACCACTGTGGGGGACACGAAGCTGTGAGCCAGTTAGTGTGGAGCAGCCATGGCTTAATAGCAGTAGTAGTGTACAATCTTATCCCATACATGTTTACCGTGGAACAGCTGCATGAGCAAACATCCGTTTTAGATGGGAGGCAAACAAATTTATTTGTGCATTGCAGGTTCTGTAGGCCTATGCTATTACACTGAAGCAGATAACACAGCATACAGTCTGGCGTATAAAAGCCACTTAATACCTTCTTGCAGATCTTAAATTATTTGTTGAACTCTGTTATGCAGGTTTATCTGAATTTCTAAGAGAGAGGTCAGGCTAAAATCTTGTTATAATTAGATGTATATACATGCACAGTATGAGTCGTACAGCTTGATAATTCCTTCTTGAAGGAAATGAAAGCCCTGACAGCTGTGTGTATAGAAGATGAGGAAGGGAGAGTTATTATGTGTGATTAGGATATCTTGAAATTGCAGTGCTTCACAAACAATAGCTAATTGTTACAACAGAAGTTTTATGGCTATTAATTCATACTGGATGATAGTTTAAAAAAAAGTGCACAAATGCTCTGCTGCCACAATCTGAAGCTGTAGCTTTACTTGTTCGGTGTGGGATCTGACATGCACTGGAGCTTTCTCGGGCAGGGAGCAGAGCCATGGCAGTGTGATAGGAACACATGATCTGTGGGGTGAACAGTATTGTTTTCACCAGCAGCTGGATCTGCTGTCTCCATGCCCCTCTTGAGGTCTTTCAGTTTTTGTCCTTGCTGCTGTACTACCTAGTCAGTCCTTCTGATTCCATCCCAAGTATCTGGTATGGTATTAGATGTTTCATGGATCTAAGAGTATATTTGGGCAGCCTTGGTTTTAAGGTGCTGTATACATGGCATTGGAACAATGATGAGATAACTGCAAGGGGTGAGCCAGCCTTTCTGTGCACCTGGCTCCTCCAGTGCATCCCATTTGGTGAGTTCTCCTTACCAGCTGCCTCACGTGCTGCACCTTACAGGTACTGTGTGTAGGGGTGCGTGAAAGTGCCTTGAAGTCTAAAATGTTTTCTGGGTGCTCAGAGTGGTGTTGTCTGCAATAATGTATGCTGGCAATGTATAGTATGCACAACAGCGTGTGATGCAGATGTATGTGGCAAAAATTGCTGTGAGAAAAATCTTCAGTGCTACTTTTAACTTTTTTTTTTTAAGAGAATCCACAGAGTTCTTTGAAGTTGTGCACATCTTCAGTTCAATTAATTTTTTTATAACTGTGTCAGAAAGCCCAGGAAAAAATTTACTACGGAAATCCTTCCAGACGTGTTAATTTTTATCTTTGACAAAATAACTGCTATTGGATAATTTTAACATGTTGCACAGTAATAGCTTACTGAATTTGACACTGCTGTTTTTACCACCAACCACAATTTATTGTTTTGAGATGAGAA